ATTATCACACTTTGTATATATATATATAGCTGAATAAATGAATATTTCATCCATTCTTATAATAATTATCTTATAGTACCTTATAATAATATATCGTAAACTTATGAGGAATTCGGCACTGTGTAGCTAAAACATATTTTATTACGACGGTTAATTAACAAAAAAATATTGCTCGATATTCCTGACCCTGACCATTATTTTTATTGAACTAAAAGTGAATTGATTCATAATTTATCTCATAACGTTCTTTTAAAGTTTTTATTTCTTAGATTCATTATTTCCTGTAAATAATATATTCATGCGTTTATTCAATATTGTTCTTAAGTTAATTTATAATTCGATGGCACACATAATTATTGCCATGATATTGACATGAATTTTATTGTCGGTTATTATAAAAACAATGTTTTATTATTTGAAGATGAAGTCGACAAAATAATTACTAAATTACTAAAATAATGTAAAAATTGCTACTTTCAGTGTTCTGTAAAGCAATTTTTACGCTGTATTTTCAAAATATAGATGTCTTATTATAACATTATGGGATAGAACAATAAAAGAACAGAGGAATTTGTATTTACAGAATAATAAGGAAAATAGTCGTACATCAAACATTCATTTTTTTTATAGTCTTGTCCACGATGCTCAAGAGGAATACGTAATAATAGAGCAAGAACGGTTGCTCATAGAGGGTATCGGTTTAAAGTGTCGGTCACTTCAAAGGTTGCGGCCCGAGTGTATGCTCGAATTAAAGTCGTAAACCATAATTGTTTTTTTTTGCACTACAGGCATAAAGCCATAAACTCTTGTGTACTTTATGCGGGTCGTGCCCGTAAGCCTTATAGTCTCTCTGTGCGTCAGCCATTCAAATCTGCTAATGATCAGAATTTACTACGGATATCCGGACTAAATTGGACCTTGAAGTACTAAAAAGTATAATATAGATTGCTTTGCTCGAGAAGATAAGTAATGATACAGCTTTTGGTCCTATATTTATGTACTGATTGTAGACAGTAATCACTATGGCGACTGACATTTCTATTTATAGCGACATTAAATTGCCACATTATACGCAAAAACAAAATTGATTCTAATTTGAATCATAATTTTTTCCCTGTAAAAAGTACAATATTTTACTTACAATGAGCTTGATATTACTATTGGTCGTGCATACGACATGATAATTATAAATAATTTGAAAAATTTTATTATAAAAAAATTAGATAAAAAAAAATAAAACAAAAGAAAAGAAGAATTAGACAAATATAAATAAAGATACAGATTTAAATAAAATAGATTTTCCTGTACTCGCGTATTTATTTATTAAATCTCGAAGACCGATCAAAGTAATTGATACTTTAACAAAGTAATTGATAAAATTTTTTTATAATTGAGTCCATTGATAATCGTAATGAACGAGCTGGAATGCAATTATATAAATATTTTATAAATCAAAGTACCGTAATTGTATGTAGTAGATATCTTGACGAATTTCTAGAAAGTAATACTCTTTTTTATGTAAGCATCAAAAATATTAAAATGTGAATACCAATCAATCCCCTGTATTACTATAATATTACGATATTAATTTAAATATACTGATAAAACAATAATTTTCAATACTTCCATAATTTTAGTTTTATAGCAATTATTTCCAGGGGGACACCACTTTCAATCATTACGTGTATCAATTTTAAATTAAAAATTTTCTTCATCCTAATGTCACATTTAAAAAAACATGACATCGTACAATTCGCAAGCTTGATCAAAAGAAAGACTTACTAAAATTAAAACGATTGAACATTTTTCACTTTTTCTACTTTTAATTACCAATTCAATGGTTTATGAAAATAAGCAATTAACATTTGGTCTTCTCGATTAACAAAAAACGCCGTCAAATTTCACGATAATGCGCTGCATAATTGTTAGCACGAGTAGTAATCGAGGCGAGCACTATATACCGTATAGCACTATAATTTTTCCTATTTCAATTACTAACACTTTGTGAAGCGCCGACTAGCCCATTCTATTTAGGTGCACGCATACGCGCGTCATCCGTTCCATTTGCATTTCACACTGTAATTGAAGCACCGTCGCGTACAACCAAGCTTATTGGACTAAACTATTCTGTAAATGATGCATTTGTATTATAATTACCAAACGGGTAGCAATATATATGAATAAAACAGTAGACCTGCCGTCACATTGTCATAGGACGGTTGCCTATCGGCCCGTAATCTATGCAACTGGAACTACGCATATATTTTGTAGGAACAATGTTTGACATTAAATACGCTTTAATGTAATGGGCTCAAAGCGTCCATTACCGATAAATTTTGTTCGACGTTACAAACCAAGAAACAATTGTCAATCCAACCGCAAATTATGATTGCTAATATTCACTTTATCACTTTATCACTTTATGACTGTATAATGTCTCTGATCATACTTGCGTTGCAATTTTTCATTTTATTAGTAGACTGCTATCGAAATGATATACTTTGAATTTACTTTATTCTCGGATCAGATGTTCTATAAATAGGCGTTGCTGTTCTTCTACAGTAGCGGCTGAGAAGTAATGAATATATATTATATTTGAAGTAAGTTTTACCGATTTTTCAGAAAACTATTACATTAACATCGATACACGTTTATATCGCCACTAAATTACAAAATAATTAAATAATACAGTATTGCGTTATTAATTTGATTCTACATTCAACTATTGATTTGTTATGAACTCCATTTGAAGCAAGTCGACAGATTATGATAAATAAAATTTATAATTTGCTTATTTTATTCTAACACATTATTAAATTTCAAGTATATACAATTAATATGTAAAAAAGAATTTACAATTACAATGAATGTCATTATAAAAATTAAGAGATTATTTTCAAACTGCCTATTCAAAATGCATTTTGCACTTAATAGACTTACAAGTATTGAGAAAAAAACGTATTCTTCTGGAGTTGAGTTTGCGAACCATTACGTCATTTAGCCGTATGTTTTTAGAGTTTATTTCATAAAACTGTGAGGCATAACATATTTAGGATCAGCAGATTATATTTTTTAATGTTACATTGTCAAATAATGTTTGCAATTTCATGCTTTAAGAATATTTGGAAATATATTTTAATATAAAAATGTAAATAAAGAAAAAATATATATATAAAAGATAAAATTTCAATATCATTCGTTAGATGTCGCCAGGTATCGGCAGTAAATTAGTTACGTTAGAAAAGAATATTTTTATAATTTCTTATAATGATATAACACAGTTAAAGAACATCAATTTTAACTTTCTTGGGTTACAATATCAAACATTACGTTACTAATAATGATTTGCATTTATTTAAAACATTTTATAATGATGTACGATACTATCACAATACATATATTATGAAAAATATGGAATTCTGCTTTGTAAAGCAACTATACGTAACTTAATCAATAGAGTATAGCTTTAATTATATTATAATTCTTACTTTGTTGTTTTTATTGTTCATTTTTTTAACCAAAAATTTCACATCTTTGTCGAAAATCGAAGTTACGTGAGTATGTATATATCCTGGAAACTCATATTTTATTTTTAAATAATAGAACGCTTAAAAATATTATATATATTATTGAAGAAGTTACGTATATTGTTCATATGTATAGGTGTATATGCATCGATGAGTATTGTAAAGTAATATATTACTTTTTTGTCATTGAATAAATGTCAGAATAATAATTAAGCCAATTAAATATTTATAAAAACAAGTTGCAGATCTGTATCTAAATTATATAAGCCTTGGAAAATATTTTTTTACTTATCATTAAGAAGACAATAAGAAAAAGTGACAGTACATCGTGTGTGACGAATAATAAGAATTACGTCGAGTTCATTTGAAATGTGATGGGAAGCCGCCAAGTACGCATTGTAAAGAGACAGTTTTTGATTGTATTTTAATATTAAGCAACTATTTTAATACAATGAGTTCAATTATACTGTCATAATAAAACAAGATCAGGCTAGACATACGAATATATAAGTAAAAGTAAGTGAATATAAATTGTAAAACTATAAGGCCAGAAAAGGAGTAAAACCCTTTATTAAATCGGTGAACCTGCACCAATAAATGTCATAAATAACGCGCTCGAGGATACGATGTTGCGACAGAGAAAAAGAAGAATCAGCAGAGGATTACAAAGTCGTACGTAGGAGAGCGAAGGCGGCACCGAGAGTTCGCACCTCGTGTAGGAAGCGGCTCAGTCGGAAAAAAGCCGACGTGCCCGATCGGTCTCTGTCGGGTGTGCAGGAGCTGACAAGCAGCAGCGGGGAAGTCCCGTCACCTCGGTGTCGGTAGTATCGTGCTTGCCCCCCACTCCAAAACAGTCGTCCCCACCTTCATAGGCGTTTGGTAGAGCGCGCGAGGGGAAGTGGAGCAGCAGTCGGAGGCGGCGGAGGCAGCGCCGTGGCCGTAGTCTTGCTTCAGAGTTCGTTCGGTGAAGTTATATCGTGGAGAAAGCGTTTCAGCAACCGTCCAGGGCCATTTTCAGACCTGAGGACATGAGCGGCCTTTGTATGAACTGCGCGCGCGTGTGCCAGTGTCACTAATTAGTAGCCTCCGAACAAGTGATCCGTGCTTCAACCGACAAGAAGACTCGAATGCTTTGCATCTTCATCATATGTGAATCTGTGCTCACCATAAGGAGACTTCCCTCAAGAGAGATAGAAAGAAAGAGAGAGAGAGAAAGTGTGTGTGTGTGTGCGTGTGTGGGAGAGAGAGAAAGAAAGTGTGTATGAGTGTGTAAGAGATAGAGAGCGAGTGATAAATACAGTGTGGCGGAGAAGGGGTAACGATAGAGGGTGGGAGGTAGTGAGGGGCGGGAGAAAGAAAGAGAGGGTAGACATGTGGTGTTAGGATTGAGGTCAACAGGAGCAAGAAAGAAAGACAGAGTGAGAAAGGGAGAGAGAGAGAGAGACAGAGTGAGAGAGAGAGAGAGAGAGAGAGAGAGAAAGAGACAAACAGTGAGGTGTGCCTGGAATAAAAAGTGAGACCTCGAGGGAGGAAGCCACGGATATAAGAGCAGCATTGGAGATAAGAAGAAGAGAGGACACGATGCTGACGTCCAGCGCCAATCAGTATCTCCGTCCGGAATATCTGACGCCTCTCCCCACGACGGTAAGAGTCAGCCCGCCAGCATCTACACGCATGCTTTTTCCTTTTATTTCCCAAAGAATAAGGTCCATAAGAAATTCGCCAGGGCCGGTAACGTTTATCATTCAAGAGTGGGCACTACATCCAGTTTGTCTTGTGCCTCGGCACGTGCAATCGCAATTTCCGTGAACCAGAGGCGCGAATTCTTGATTTGAGGCGGTATAAATTAGAGTGATGGCTACTTTTTGATTCCCAGGAATTTGTAGACCGAGTATGCCTTTCCATGATGAGGATCGAAGTGGGTGCAATAGCGTGTACCAATAATCATCTTGGCTGAAATTCGAAACTTACGTAATTACAGCCAAGAAAGCGGCCCAGTTGAACACGCGCAGCTGTCCGTTTCACGTTCAAAGAGGCGCGACAGATCGCGTTGCTGAAAAATTGCAGCCGCCGCCAATTGATCCGACGGGAAGTGGATTTGCCGCGGGGGTACTACCCGTCCGTGTGAGCGACGGCTGTCGAACGGCCGACGTTCGTCGTGCGCTTGAAAAAGGAGCTTGAAACTATTTTCGGGCGGAAAGCGGACGAGTGCTGGCAAGCTTTCCGGTCTCACGCGACGCGTTTCGATTTATTTGCTACATAAATCAAGCCCTCCTCCCATCCACCCATCCTCCTCCTCGTCCCCTTTCCCCCTAGATACGGCCATCCTCCTCTTCCACGCCACCACCTCTATCGCCGCCCTCCCTGGCCAGATCCCAACCTATCGCTCTCTCGCTCCATCTCACTTTCTCTGCCACTTTTTCTGCGCCTCTCGAAACAATGCGTATTTTTGTATGCCGCACGCCTATACTTAGCTCTCGGCCTGGAAATAAATTTACGAAAACGATGTGCGACCGAGCGAGTACAAGAGATATGGAGATAGAGATAGAGAGTGCATGCGTGTGTGCGTGCTCATGCGCGCATGACAAGTGGGTGAATATATGCACATGCTGTGTGGAAGTGCCCGGGGGCTCCGACCAGACTGGACGTTGTTACGGTGTTGGATGTCAGCGATAAACGATACATGGTGCGCTCTAACGGACGTTTATCGCTTGTAACTCAAATTGTAACTCGCTTGACACTCGCTTACCAGGACCGAATTTTTGGGCAACGTCTGGCATAGTCACGTCAATCTTTCCTTCTTCGTAATTATTGTCGTAAGCCCGTTAGTTATCTGGCCGCCTATATATCTATCAAACTCATTAATCAATAAAGTTATATTCGAATCATTATATAGCATTTATTATATATTATATTATGTAGCTATATTATATATTATATAGCTATTATTTCTAAAACTATAGACATAAACGATTATCTAACCTACTCTTTTCATAAAGTCTTTCGCAGTAGAGATGATTCGAGATTTAATGAAATATCCCACTGCAGATAGATTTTACTTTTTGAAAATTGTGTTTTTTGTCATTGACATATATTTTTGTTTAAATCTATCGAACGAACGAACGAACGAACGAACGAATAAATGGATGGACGGACGGTTGGACAGACGGACGGACAGATGGACGGACGGATGGACGGATGGTTAGATGGACGGGTAGACGAAAATTCGATTTGATTTGAGTATCGCGTGCTGATACGAATAGCGGCATTTAAATGGATAATAAATAATCCGACCAACATGACAAAAAAGATTAGATTGTATAAAGTAATGTTTAGCCTGTCAGACAAATATACTTACTATCGTACTTGAAAATTTATTAATAGTTAAAGTCTGTAAATAAATGAAAGTAACTGTTCGTACAACTATAGATAATCGCGAATATATTACGAGCAAATTTATTTAATTTATTAGTGCGATATAGCTTTCTAAATACTTCTATAAGAAAATTTTTACATTTGTTTCAATGCAATTAACACCCGGATAAATAAAATTTAAATCAGCGCATTTGGATTTTACCTGTATTTTTATAATAATAACATTAGATCTTTAATGATTTGCATTTAAAATTATTATTATCAGATAAGGATTCTTAATTTTTATATATTTTCAAACCAAAATTTAACAATATTCATTAATATTCCTCTCATTAAAAAATCTCATCAAAAAAATTTCCATGCAAATTAAATATTGTAAACATGTGGTAATTACTTTAAGTACAATACAGATTTTTCATAAAATCATTTTTTGTGTCAAACGTTTGCTATCAAACATGATATTTTATAAAGACAGTGCAAAATAACGCAATTTAAAAGTTAAAGTAGAAATGAAGATAAATTAATTTTTAATAATTTGTCATATTTAGCTGATATTCAAAACATTGATTTAATACTTCAAAGAGCTGACAACTTCAATATTGTAAATTATAAAATTCAAAATCATACTGCCAAAGAAAGTAAGAAAAATAATTGTAATTTATATAGCTAACTAAGATAAATGCATTCTCATACATCGTTCACATGGCCGCGTGTTAGAAATAAATGTCAAAAATTTTTATTCATACCCCAAGAAAGTGTAATAAAATATAACAATACGCTACGTACAATATTATATCAAATTTTATTCGGATACCCGTACGTTCTTTGAAAATTAACAAGCTCATAAATCAATAGCTTTGTAGTAGATTTTTTACTTTTTTGTTGAAATCTAACACGAGAGTATTTTTAGATTTGATAATATCGGAGAAAACTGATTACTCTTTCGTGTTCACAGCTGTGTGAAGCTAATCAGCGCAATACAATTGATAATTTAGCTTAGGGCCTTTTCTCGTCCACTAGTACGGCCCAGCAAGATCTTCATAATTTAGAAACATCAAAGTGCATGAATTCCACGAATTTGAATCTAAATTTAAGTTCAGAATTTCACGAAAAAAAAACAAAAATCAAGGTTGAAGAAAAAATATGGACAGCAAGCAGTTATTCCTCTATAAATTTTCTCGTGCAGATAATATACAATCGCGTATTTACTTCATGAAAAATTTATTTCTTCCTATCGTATGAACAATATTAATTGAGATTTTCGATTTTATCAGTTTCCTAACTTCGTCAGCGACTCTTCAATTAGCATACCTTGCGAGAACGAAGAAATGTCACGCATTACACCGATAGTTGGATGTGTTAGTATCATGGCGAAAGGAGTAGAAATTTGATTTGAATTCCTATATCCATGCCGATTATTCAATATTAAAGCTCATTTTCGTGCGTCGTTATTGCAATATTTTCTTTCATACTGATATACATCATCGCTACTTCATGCTTGTTGACAGAGAGAGAGAGAGAGAGAGAGAGAGAGAGAGAGAG